ATATATAAAGCGAATAAGGTAGCTGCAATATTTTCCGCTCCTCTGTTTTTGGTTACTTTTATTTTTCTTTTCAATTTCTATCTATTTATTACACGTCTATTAAGTCTCTACTGTAGATTAAATTTAATTGTTATTTAAAATTAATTCTATGCAATTTAGTATGCATCCATTCCTCTTTCTTTGGAAATCATTCCTCTACTGTAGGATTGATTTTCTAATTATAAATATATATAATTATGTAACTAGACTATTATTCGTCTTCTCATATAACCTCAATAGTCAGACCAAATTATTCACACACATCTAATATTTGACAATGAAATTTGTAGTAAATATTCGTGTGAGAAGGTTATTGCTTCTCAAAAACATATATTTTCTTAAAGGATCCTCTCTTTCATTTTTACAATTTATGTGAATTGAAAGAGTCCAATGCTTTTATGAAAATAAGGCCCGGAGTTGATCCCATTTCGACTCATTGAGTCACCTTCATTGTGCTCCTTCCTCTGCTGATTTCCTACACTCCTCTTCCTCATCAGCCTACAATGTTCCTTTCAAGTTTGGTGCTTCTTAGGCCTTCCACGTTTTATTTTATTTTGCTTTATTAGTTTATCTTTTAATTCAATGCATGTGTTTTGTATGGTTTTGATGAGAACCATATTTTGTTGTGTTTCAAATTGTGACTTAATTGAAGGAGGATGATTATTTCTAAAGTATAAAATTATTAGTGTTTTTTGATTGATTATTTTTTATTTAAATTTTATTGAGATGGTTTAGTTATGATCAACATGTTAGGATACAAATAAGTTTTACATTGATAAAATAAGAGAAAAAATAACAAATTATAAAGTACACACATACTTCAATGATTGAGAGACCTTTTGGGAGATGACCAAAAGTAAAACTGTGATGACTTAGGCCCAAAGCAGATAATGTCTCATTATTGTGAAGTTATGTATAAAATAACCTTATAAAAATAATTATTATAAAATATCCTCTCAGATTGATATTAAGTTAAAGATTTATCATCAATTAATCCATTAACTCATTCTATGTTGACAATAATTTAATATAAGTCATAAGTTATTTCAAATCTTTATTGAGTTATATATAGCTTTTTTTAATACTTTTATTTTAAAATAATTATAAATTTTTATTTCAATCAAGATATAATTACCAAAAACATGAAATATATAATTTTTTATATGAAAATGAAAGTAATGCATTCTAATTCTCACATTTTCTTCCCAAGGGGAAGAAAGCACGATTTAGCTTCCATATAAAATTTTTAAAAATAATAAATAAATAAAAACAACAAAACGTCATGCACTTTTAGACGCAAGATGAAGAAGATGTTTTGGACGTTAATATTATCAAATCTAACAAATATTTAATTTTTTAATGCATATTTTTTAAAGAAAAACTATTTTGACAAATTTTTATTTTTTAAAAATTTCAATTAAAAAATAGAAGTAATAGACCATTATATTTATAAATATAAAAAAACGTTGAGTCAAATACTGTAATATTGTACAATTTTGTTAATTATTGTTACTTTCTTTTAATAATTAAGTGTTGTGGTGATTTGTTGTTTGTTGTTGAGAAACTATGAGAATTTAGAGAATTCTTGTGAGTTTTAGGTGTGTAGAGAATTTCTTTAAGTAGAAGTTCAATTTGACCTTGAAAGGGAAGTTATATAAAGTTTCTTTTAAGAATCAAGTTTCATAAGTTCATTTCTTAAGGAAACCTAGAGAGAAACTCTAGGACATAAGAGGTTTCTTTCCCTCTTTTGAGTCTGTTAAGAGTGTAAAATCCTTCCCTAGAGATCTTGAGTTGTTGTGTTGGTGATTCGAAGGTCAAAGAGTTGAGAATCATAGATTTTGGAGAATTGTGCATAGTTCTCAAAAGAGCTTTTTTCTTCTTCCTTTTTTCCTATTTTCCCTTAGATTATGAGGTAAGGAAAGTTAGAACTGAATCTTGATTGATTGTTAAAGTTGCATGTTGCTTGATTTCATTTATAAACATGTTGAGTTGGTTGACTTGGATTAAATGAGTGAAATTGGAGTTGTTGCTTGTGAAGCATGTTTGGGATGGATTTGGGTGATTTTGAGCAATTGCAATTGCATGTGGATATATTGGTTGGATTCAAGTTTCTTTTATGGTATATATGTAAGATATCTTACATTGCATGTTGGAGTTTTTTTGAGTTTAAGGTGAATTGAGCAAATTTGTGAATCTACTATGTGTAGATTTCACCATTGCGTCGGGCATACCTTCATGACATTGGATGTGACTTAAATCAGGGGCCCTCTATTTTATTGCATTGGGTGTAAGATTTCTGGCATCGAACATGAAGAGAGAGAAAAGTATTTGACTTAGTCACATCAAACGTGGATTGATTGACATCGGGCATGACGTGACAGAATGATCTCAAACTTGGTGACAATTAAGCCCTATGTTGTGTGGTGCCTAGCATGACCAAGACAAAGCTCTCTACCTAAGTGACATTAGGCATCAATGGAGTAATATCAGGCATAAAGAGAAAGAATCATCTCTATCTAAATTGGGGTCGGGCATGGGTTTAACCATGTCAAGCATGATTTTCCTAGGGAATCTTTGAACTAATCCACATCGAGCGCAAGTTGAAAGGCGGCGTTAGGCGTGGGCGAGGCAAAAAGCTCCATGTCTCAATGACACCAAGCATAGGGTGGATGGCGTCAATTGTGAAGTTGTTTTATGAAAACTTGTTGTTTGATTGAGAAAATGGTAAACATGAATAGATTAGGTGAATCTATTTCATGTTGCTTGTTAATTAATGTTTTTAGTTTTATATCCATTGATATGGATGCATATAGATAAATAATTTTGAGAATTCCTTAGGCATTTAAGCGTGTTCTATTAATTAACTGGTGAAAGTTGAGGTGATGGTGTTGAGAATGCTCAAGGCATTTAAGCATCGCAGTTTCTTGTGATGATAAATTTAGGACTAGGAGAGGGTATTTTAGAAAGTTGGATATCTCATTGTGAGAATATTGGTGTGGTGCTCTACCAGTCCAGTTGTCAAAAACCCTTCTTGAATAGTTAACTCTAGAAGTGGATAGTTGAGTCTCCTCTAGAGGCTTAGTTGATGTAGTATGTGGGCTAGGTCGAGGCATACTAGCTATAAGTAACTAATGTTGATTCATATATGGGTAAGATTGAGACATACATGTATAAAGTGACCAACCAAGTAAGATACAAGATCGGAGGCTTAATCCCTAACTGAATACTAAAAAGGGATAATATATGGAGAGTAGTTAGGGGGCTAATTCCACAAGAGACTTAGTTATGAAATTTAATGTTGTGATAGACTCACACCCAAGTTATTCTACCCTAATTAACAAGATACTAAACTTATTAGGCGACATCAGAGAAATTATGTTGTTAGGGATTGATATCCCAATTAGCTGTTAATCTAGAATGTGTAAAAATAGTGTTAATTCAGTAGGTTCAAACCACTTAAATTATTCATCTTTGTTGTAGGAGCTCTCTGTAAGTGAATGCGTGATGACATATATAGTTGAGGTGTATGTATATGATGAGTTGTTGTGTTGTTGTTCATATTTTATGTGAATTGTGATTGAATGACATTATTGTGGTGAAAGTTGAAATATGATGTGATGTAAATAAGTTGTTTACCTTCTTAAGGTGTTGAATGTTATGTTGAGGTGCTAGTTGTAAGGCATATTGGTGTTGGTAATATAGTTTTATTACTTCTATATTTGTTATGTTGTAGGCTATGAGTTGTTATGTGATATGGTTTACATGTTGATTGGCAGTATAGTTGTCTTTTCTCCTTTACTTGTTGTATGATTATTCTTTTGAATACTTGCTTAATTTTACATGTTTTCTTGTGATTGAATTATAATGATCATGTTTACATAGGAGTAAGATAGAGATAAGTTAGAGACATCCATAGAGTGAGGGCCATGTTGAATGACACAATGTAACTTAATGCTACTTTTACATAAATGTTGTAGTGTTGTTGACCAAAAATATATATTCATACATTTTAGTTTTTGAACTTTTATATATATATATATATATATATATAT